CGGGCTGCTGATGCCCCGGCGCTGCCTCCCCAGATCTCCCCCGACCCGGAGCTGGAGGCGCAGGTGCTGAGCCTGGCCATCCGCTGCATCCACAGCGAGGAGGGCTGCCGCTGGAGCGGGCTCATCAAGCACCTCCAGGTAAGGTCCGGCAGGATGAGGTGGGGGCCAAGGCTGTGCCCTGTGACTCCCCCCGCCCCTCCTCACCATCCCTGTGCCCCCCAGGCCCATCTTGGCACCTGCGGCTTCAATGTCATCCCCTGCCCCAATCGGTGCAGCACCAAGCTGAGCCGCCGCGACCTGCCCGAGCACGTCCAGCACGGCTGCCCCAAGCGCCGGGTCAAGTGCGAGTTCTGCGCCAGTGACTTCACCGGGGAGGCCTTCGAGGTGGGAAGCGGCACCATGCCAGGGGGCATGGCTGTGGGGGGGACACTGCGGGGGACACAGCTGGCAGGGGTGTCCTGGGGGGTGTAGTCGGGTTGGAGGGCGCAGTGTGGGGACCTAGATGGGCTACAGGGCACCCTGGGGGCACAGCCTGGCTGTGGGGAGCACCGTGGGGGACCCCACGGCGGGCACAGCCTGGCCACAGGGGGCACCGCATGGCCCCATCCCTTGGCAGGGCTGGCCGGTGAGGGCAGCCGGAGGGTGACACTGCTGCTGCTGTCCCCAGGGCCACCAGGGCACGTGTCCCCAGGAGAGCGTCTACTGCGAGAACAAGTGTGGGGCCCGCATGATGCGGCGCCTGCTGTCCCAGCACACCCTGGCCGAGTGCCCCAAGCGCACCCAGCCCTGCACCTACTGCGCCAAGGAGTTTGTCTTCGACACCATCCAGGTGAGACGGGGCCCACAGGGACCTTCACCCCGCCAGCTCCCAGCCCCAGCTGACAGCCACTCTCTGTCCCCAGAACCACCAGTACCAATGTCCCCGGTATCCCGTGCCCTGCCCCAACCAGTGCGGGACGCCCAGCATTGCCCGGGAGGACGTGCCCACGCACCTCAAGGAGAGCTGCAGCACTGCCATGCTGCTGTGCCCCTTCAAGGAAGCTGGCTGCAAACACCGCGTGAGTGTGTCCCCGGCCCCGTGGCAGTGTCCCCGTGCCCGTCCCTCCCTGGCGTCCTGTGAGATCCCTGCCATGGTGTACCTCTGCCCCACAGCATCCCCACACCTCTCCTGCCTTGACGTCTGTCCCATCCCCTGTGGTGTCCCTGTTCTGCTCTGTCCCATCCATGTGGTTTCTGTAGTGTCCCCATCCTTGTCCTGCCTCAGCCCTGTGTCACTTGGCTGCCCAGGTGTCCCCCTGCCATCCCCACCAGGTGTCCCTGTGCCACGCTGCTCCAGCACCCCCATGTTCCAACGACATCTCCTTGACATCCCCACGGCATCCTTCTGTCCCGTCCCACCCCACGTCCCCATGCTGTCCCGTGCCCCCGGCACCCCGCCGCTGACAGTCCCACTGTCCCCGCAGTGCCCCAAGCTGGCCATGGGCCGGCACCTGGAGGAGACCACCAAGGCCCACCTGGGCATGGTGTGCGCCCTGGTCAGCCGGCAGCGGCAGGAGATCCTGGAGCTGCGACGGGACATGGAGGAGCTGTCGGTGAGCAGCGACGGGACCCTCATCTGGAAAATCGCCGACTACGCCCGCAAGCTGCAGGAAGCCAAAGCTCGCAGCAACTATGAGTTCTTCAGCCCCCCTTTCTACACCCACAAGTACGGCTACAAGCTCCAGGTCTCGGCTTTCCTCAACGGCAACGGGAGCGGGGAGAGCAGCCACCTCTCCGTCTACATCCGCGTGCTGCCGGGCGAGTACGACAACCTGCTGGAGTGGCCCTTCTCCTACCGCGTCACCTTCTCCTTGCTGGACCAGAGCGACCCTTCGCTCTCCAAGCCCCAGCACATCACCGAGACCTTCCACCCTGATCCCAACTGGAAAAACTTCCAGAAGCCGGGAGCCTCGCGCAGCTCCCTGGATGAGAGCACCCTGGGCTTCGGCTACCCCAAGTTCATCTCCCACGAGGACATCAAGAAGCGGAACTACGTGAGGGACAACGCCATCTTCATCAAAGCCTCTGTGGAGATTCCCCAGAAGATCCTGGCCTGAGCCCCAGTGCCCCGGGGGGGACAGGACATGAGCTGGGCACCCACCCAGGGGTGCCCGAGGTGGTGCTGAACCCCTGCCCACAGCTGGTGCCCCCAGCTCGGGGACGCTGCCGTGGCTGCAGCCGGTGGCTTTCAGGTAGGCAGGGACGGGGCTGCTCCCCCACGTCCCTCCTGGGGCCGGGACCCCGCTGCAGCCCCAGCTGCCCCCCCAGGGCAGCCCCTTCTCAGGTGCCCGGGGGTGCCGGGGGGGCTGGGCCCCCCAAGACCCTCACCGGGGTGCCCAGCAGCCCCCGCCAGCCTTGCTGGGGACCCCACAGGACCCCGCTGCCCAGAGCCATATTTTGTAAGCTGGTGCCCCCCGGGAGCACGGTTGTTATTTATTACCCCGGGCTGGGGCCTGCTGCCCCCTCCCTGCCTCTTTTTTTCAATAAACTTTTCTTGTATTTATTATGGCCGCCTGAACGTCCTTCCTGCGCCTGGGCAGGGTTGGGGGGGGGCCCGTCCCCAGCACCTGCTGGCATTGGGGTGCTCACAGTGCGGCCGTGGGTGCTGGGGACAGGGAGAGCCCGGGGTGGGCTGGGGGGCACGGAGGGGGTGTAATCCCTGATCCACATCCCGGCAGCAGATGGGCTCAGATGGCGACAGTTAATTCAGTTATCGC